GGCCCGTGGCCTCCCGTGTGGCTTCCGCCTGAATGTTTTCTTCTATGAGATGAAAATATCAGACTCGCCAGGGGCTCCAGCTGCCTCTGACTCTTACATCCTCTAAGTTGAGGACCCTCATCACAGCCCCAGCCTCGTGCCCGTCCTGTCCTTGTCAGCCTCCTGAGGGTGAGGGGCCGAGGCATGGGGACTGGCTGAGGCCTGAGCTGAGACGGGCTGAGAAGCAGCTTTGCACTGTGGCCCGTGCAGCTGCCTCCTGCCTCCTTCCACCCAGCTGGCCCTTCCCCTCCTTCAGGAGGGACTCAGGCTCGCTGTCACCTCGGTGCAGGAAGCCGCCTGCCTGGGGCCGTCTCCCAGTGCCTGCGAATCCGTGGGCATGCAGGGTTCCCCCTACACCGCTGGTTTGCAAGGGAAGGGCAGGGCCAGGCGGATGCGTGGCCCCAGACCCAGCCGGCATGTGCTGACATGAATGATAAAGAGTGAATTAAGAGAGCAACCGGCTGGTGTGGCTCCAGTGGTTGAGGGCTGTCCTATGCTCCAAGGCTGCTGGCTCGATGCTCAGCAGGGGGCGTGCAGGAGGCAGCAGATCCATGTTTCTCTCTTGGGATGTTTCTTCCTCTCTTTCTAAAATAAATGGAATACATGTTTTTAAAAAGGAGGAAAAGAAAAGTAAGCACCAGGGGTCAAGACAGTGAGGAAGGAGCCCATCTGGTGTGGCTCAGTGGATGAGCATCGACCTATGAACCAGGGGTCACAGTTTGATACCTGGTCAGGGCACATGCCCGGGTTGCAGGCTTGACCCCCAGTGTGGGGTGTGCAGGAGGCAGCTGATCAATGATTCTCTCTCATCATTGATGTTTCTATCTCTCACTCCCTCTCCCTTCCTCTGTGAAATCAATCTATAATAGTAAAAGCATAATATGCTAATTAGACTGGACAGCTGAATGACCTTCAGGACGTCATTCCAGACAAAGCCACAGTGGTGGGGGCCGAGGCAGAGGTGGTGGGGGGCAATCAGGCAGGCAGATGTGGGATCGGGCCTAAACTAGCAGGATTCCCCCTAAGAGTCCCAGATTATGAGAGGGTGCAGGCTGAGCTGAGGGACTCCCCCCCATGCATGAATTTCGTGCACCGGGCTTCTAGCATATATACTAATAAAAGGGTAATATGCAAATTAACTGTCAGTCCACGACAAAATGGTGGCGCCCATAGCCACAAAGATGGCGGCGCCGGCCGGAGTGAGCGGGACACTTGGTTTCCTTCAGGCGGGACGCTTGGCTTTTTTTGTCACCCCAGCAACGAAGGAAGCCAAGCCTCCCGCAAGCCCTGGCCGGCCACCAAGGGCCGGTCTCTGGGCGGCAGCCACAGAGTCGGCTGGAGCGGGCAGGAGGCAGCTCCAGGCCGGAGCGAAAGGTGGCGGCCAGAGCAAAGGCCCGGGTCCCAGGTGCCAGAGGGAAGCCAGTGCCAGCACCCAGGGGAAGGAAGGCCTGTTCTTGCATGAATCTTTGTGCACCGGGCCTCTAATGTGTGTGTGTGTGTGTGTATATATATGCCTGGCCTGTTTGGCTCAGTGGATAGAGCGTCAGCCTGCGGACCAAAGGGTCCCGAGTTTGATTTCAGTCAAGGGCATATACCTTGGTTGCAGGCTCCTCCCCAGCCCGAGCCCTGGTTGGGGCTCGTGCAGGAGGCAACCAATTGGTGTGTTTCTCTCACACCAATGTTTCTCTCTGTCTTTCCCTCTCTCTTCCATTCTCCCTAAAAATCAATGAAAAAATATCCTCAGGCGAGGATTAACAACAACAACAAAGAAAGTGAGGCAGGAAAGGCTCATTTGCAGCTGCAGGGCTTGTGGGAGGGACCAGCAGGACAGCTGTGAGGAAGGAGGCCGGGCGGCCAAGCAGCGCTCCCGTCTGTTCTCCTCTCCTCCTAGGCCGATGGAGCTCCACCTGCCCAAGTTCTCCCTCTCCAGCCTCTATCACCTGGAAGGCGTCCTCCCCCGGCTGGGCATGAGGAAGGTCTTCAGCAAGAAGGCCGACCTGTCGGGGATCACAGGTGACAAGAACCTGGCGGTCTCTCAGGTGAGTCGACAGCATGGACATCAGCCTCCGCGTGGAGCTGGGAACAGCCAGGCCGGGCAGAGGCCAGGGAGTCTCCCATCTCCACACAGAGCTGCCCCCCTCATGACCAGTCGCCCCCAGGAGCTGGGTGCTGAGGCCTGGGCGGGCCCCTCCCTGCAGTCTCATGGGACGGAGCCAGGCGTAGGGGAGAGCCTGGGGTGCAATCAGCAGAGGACCCCCCCCCCACGCTCCTCCCCTTACTGCCTGCAGAGCCCATGGCTCAAGGCCTGTCCCCTCAGCTTTTTCACGGGTAAATGCGGGGAGAGGTCTTGCAAAGTGCCCCTGCCCGGCGGAACAGGTCAGAGGCAGGAGGTGGTAGCCACGGCTCTGGGGCGATTGTGATGAAGGGGCACGAAGAGATGGGAGATCCTGGGGACCCTGCACTGCGTGCCTAGAAGCAGAGCAGTCAGAGAACGGGGAGCTGCTGGGAAGCCCTCCACCCTCATCTGCACCCCACCTCCCAAAGGGTGTGGCAATGGAAGGTCAAGTGCAGGGGTGGGGGTGGGGCAGCTGCAGGGTCCAGGGATGTGAAGCCACATCCCCTGCGACATCGCCGAACCCCAAGGACATGGGGCTGGGGCAGGAGGCATGCTGACGCAGGGCCCGCTGTCTGTGGGTTCCGAACTCTGCACCAGCTGCCTGCGGAGGAGCCTGTGGGAAAACGCCCTCCTGCGTGTCCCCCCACAAAAGGGGGTGTGGGGGCAGCACCGTCTCTGGGCTCAGGCGGGGGACCCACCCAGGGTGCCCCTGCCCTGCACCCGGCAGGCCCCTCACAGCCCCGAGCCTCGCGTGCACATGTGCACATCAGGGCTCCGCACACCAGGGTGCCGGGAGGAGCGGACCAGCTGAGCCGGTTGACAGCAGCGTGACAGTCAGCGGTGGGTCAATGCCAGCCCCCGAGAGCCGCGCGGGCGGGCGGGCTGCAGCCTCCTGCTCACCGTCTCGGGGCGGCCCGGTCCTCACAGGTGGTGCACAAGAGCCTGATGGACGTGGCCGAGACGGGCACCGAAGCCGCCGCCGCCACGGGAGTCAGTGTGATGCTCAAGTCCGCCAGACTCCCACGGGCCTCCGTGAAGTTCAACAGGCCCTTCCTGTTCACCATCCTGTCCGAGGACACCCAGAGCATCCTCTTCTGCGGCAAAGTGGCCAACCCCAGCGCAGCCTAGAGCTCCCTCCCCCTCGTGCCCTGGCCGTGGAGGGCGCCTGTCTCCGGGGGCAGCCTGGCCCCGTGCACAGGGAGCTGGTGGGCCTCGCCCTGCCTGCTCCCTCCTGGGGGAGCGCCCGTGACTGCTGGTGGCTCCCACACGTGCCTCCGAGGCTCTGTGACCTCCGATGGCAATAAACCAGGGGCCTCGGCTCGGCGTGTCCCTGTGCCTTTCCCGATCTGCCTGGCCCCACGCGCTGTGGCCGCCCGCAGTGAGAGTCCTTTCCCTCGGACTTTCCCTGGTGAAACGGGGTGACAGGGCTGGGCTACTTACTGCGCAGTGCCCAGCAGAGCAGGTAAGAGGTGGTAGGCAGTAACCATGGCTACAGGCGACTGTGATGAAGATACACTAAGAGAGCGGTCGCCAACCGGTGCTCCGCGGACCCCTGGCGGTCCCTGAGATTCGAAAGGTTGGCGACCGCTGCTCTGAGAGATGGGAGAACCCGGGGACCCCAGGCTCCCAAGTAGGCTCCGCCCCCTGCCAGGCTCTGGGCTCTGCCTTCCCCTCCAGCAGCCCGGCCCGGACAAGCCAACCTGGACCTCAGGCCCAGGACCAGAAGGGACCTGCTGCCCGGTGTCGCCTCCCGAAGGCTCGCTGGTCCCAGTCCCAGTGTCACTCTTCCTCCCCAAGGTCTGCCCACGTGGCCACCCTGTGGGGGGTCCAGACCTGACCTCACCTGGCACAGCCGGACCCCTGGCTTCTGCAGCCGAGCCGGCCCTCCTCGTCCTAGAATCTCCCGCCCAGCCCCCCAGCACCCCGACTCGGGGAGAGTGGCCCCGTTTCAGAAGCGAGGTCCTGAGCCCTGCCCCTGCCAGAGGGCCCCCCGGCAACCAGAACGAAGGTCGGGGAGCAGCGGAGCGTGAGCACCCACAGCAGTAAAAGCCATCACCCTGTCACGGCGCGGGGAGGGCTGAAGCTCTGGGCCCCAGGGGTCACCAGGCATCATGACGAGGCCACCAACATCGAACACGGGCTTGAGATCCAGCTGCCAGGCCTCACCCAGCCCCTGTGAGGGCCTGGGAAGCAGATGCTGCTCTTGCTCCCATTGTATGGATGAGAGGACTGAGGAGCACCGCTCAGAGAGCTCCCCCAGCCCACACAGCGGTGATGAGGGCGGGCAGGATGCTCTCCCAGCTTGCTCGGCGTCACACATACACTCTAAACCACAAAGCGATTCTGTCCTGAACGATTTCCACAGTGACGGCTCTCCCGGGACTCGGACTGTGATGGGCAAGACAGGTGGTGAGACGAGGCTCTGGAAGCTGAGACTCGAGAGCACCCAACTCCACTGGGGAAGCCAGGGAGGGCTCCCTGGAGGAGGTGGCTTCTGCCCTGCGATCAGAGGGAGAGTAGAGGATGGGTAAGTGAACAGCGAGGAGAATGTCCCAGGCAAGAGAAAGAGTGATGGGAGGATTTTCAAGAAACCAAAAGAATTGAGCAGGCCTGGAGCAGGGACGGATGGAGGGCTGAGGGGCGGCAGGGGCCACCGTGGAGCTGCTGGGCGCTCAGGGCCGGGCAGCTCAGTGAGGATGCTGGCATGGCTTCTCAGAGCCACAGGCAGCTTTAACGGAGTTCAGACAGAGAGTGGGAGTGAGCAGACTTGCGTCCGAGAAAGAGGCTGCGGCTGCTGCGTGGAAGGGTCCGGGGCCGGGACGGGGCTGTGGGCTGCACTGAGGCAGAGATGGGGCCGCTGCCGAGGGAGAGGGGACGCTCCAAGGCTGTGGGGAGCCGGTGTGAGGCGTGAGGGGAGGAAGGAGGAAAATGCATGTGGGTGTGGCTCCTGGTGACAACAGCTTCCCTGAGACGGACCCAGGGAGCAGCCTGCGGAGGGAAGTGACACGTCAGGTCTGGACACAGCCGCGCCCTCAGTTCCTGGGAGACAGACAGGATGTTGTCCGGAGTCAGGAGGGAGGTCGAGGCGGAGGGAGCAGCAGGACGCCCCGGGGTGGGCCAGTGAGCCTTCGGGGCCCCACCCCGAGTCCCTGGGTGTGCAGAGAAGGGCGTGCTCCTCCGAGGGGTCGTCTACGGGCAGCTCGCCAGCGAGTGGGGAGCCGGGAGGGGCCGAGGGGAAGGTGTCCCCCCAGGACCCGCAGAAGGTAACCAAGGGGCCGGGAGGGGCCAGGGCGTGAGCGAGTGGGGCCTGGGCGGCAGCGGCGGCTCCCCGCACCCCAGTGCCAGGTCCTCTCACTTCCGTGACTTGGGCAATTCGGAGGTGCCAGGGAGACCCCCAAGTCCCTCCTTGAGGGGGAAGGTGAAAGCTCTCAACGTAAGAAGGAAACAGTCACGCTAAGACCCGAGGGAGAAGGACTCTCCCACCGTGAAAGTGAGAGGAGAGAGCAGTGCGCCGGCTCGCTGCCACCCTGCACCAGCGGGCGCTGGTAGCCGCAGGACAGACCGTGGCACGTCGGCAT